GACCTACGAGCAAGTGTAGGTGTTTTAGAGGGCGCGACGGAGGCCGCGGATGATCGCTCAGCTGAAACGATGGTCACGGCGGACGACGCAGCAGCTTTTCTCGCCAGTATAGGCGACACGGGAGCGGCAGGCACGACAGAGGCTGCGGTGCTCAATGCAGAAGCTCTGCACGCAGGTACAGGCGACGCAGGAGCAGCGAGCGCGGCGGAGTCCTCGAGAGGGCTCGCAGTGTGATTGGCCTTGAAGGCCAAAAACTCCGAGGCGAGCTGTGGGTGGCGAAGTCGGAGGAATTCCGCGAATACAGCGTCCATGATCGCTGAGTACCCAGGTGGGGCGGCCCCGGGTCTTGAAAACACTCGCCTTGCGGCGAGGCCCCAACTTCTCGGACCTGAGCGGTTCTATTGAACACAGGTGGCAATGCGGCGCGATTACTACAGGACAAAGAAAAAGCACAACAAAACAGAAATTACGAAAAGAAACAAAACAAATAAATACTTGCAGGAAACCACTTTGTCGGCAGATGTACCACGAACACAGAAACAACAAAAGGAAACAAAACAAATAAAAACTTCCAGAAAGAGCACTTAGTCGGCAGATGTACCACAAACACAGGCCGCGCGAACAATGGCCGGGCTAACAAAAGCCGGGCGAACAAAGACCGGGCGATCGAGTGGACGATGAGCACGTCCGCACGTGACGGGTGCCTCTATCGGAATGAAGCTATGGTGGTTTAATTACATAACCATCAAATCTAATAAAGCCTTAACTTTTTCAATACTTTAATACTGTGTCAGTGAAAATGAACGCGTATGACGGACACAAAAGTAATTGTATTAATCAAAATTTTATTTTTAAAACTGCGCTATTAAATATGGCGTTACAGACATTTATAGGTCATATCGTTACAATTCAAAACTACTGCTACTGATATTCTAAGTAGTCTCCTAATAATTAGATAAAACATTAAGATCCAAGAGAGTAAGTACAATTGCTACTTTTTAATTATGAGTTCCATTTATTAAGAAAGACATGTACAATCTACTACTTGAAAGACATTGAATACAAAATCGAATGCTACTCTAATATTTTAAATCAAAACTATTAATACGATGAAATTACGGCTTTCAGTTGATATTCAGTTGAGAGATACAGAGGAAAGGTAGGACGGGTGAAGGAAATTATGCGATTTTTTTCGAAGCTGTGGTGTTACAGAGTCTTATTACTAACCCTATTCTGACATAAAAGGTTGCTATGGGTATTATGAGAGATTATAATATGAATGTTTCTAATTCAATTACATAAATTTAAAATACATTTAAATACGTTTGAATAAGTTTTAGACATACCTTAAAAAAGATTATGCATCATTACAATCTACCGTAATATTTGCTGTGTGATTACAATGTTTTATTTTTTATTTCTATGAGCGTCACGAAAATGTAAATATCTATGAAATGACTATGCGACGTAGGTATATGAAATAACAACACCATTCAACTATGCGTTCTCACGACTAGTAACTACTTTGAGTATCATTACTATTGAAAATTAATAAGAATATTAAATAGTTTCGCATTAATTTATCCATAAACCGGCATCCTTCGTCGTCCTTAGCAGCTGATTTTTAACCTATTCTATAGTCATATTTTTGAAAAGTATCAGAATAGCTCATGACTTTGCTTTATTCCAATTTCTTAACCAGCATGTGCTCGTGGAGACGCCAAGCTGCAGATATCCTGCTTTGCTTGTGATCTGCGGTATTCAAGTGCTTTAAGATGATGTCCATGCCTTGTTCGACGATGTTGCAAAAGCCACAGTGGTAAACTTCGGGACGTACCTTAAATGATAAAAGCGTAGGTAGTACGTGATTTGAGTAAATTTAATAATCATAGGAATTGGATAAATGTTGTTTGTAATAAAAATTTAGCGTAGACAATAGATGATCTATGCTTATTATTTTGCAGGCACTTTTTCAATTTCATTTTCGAAAGTGAGCGACTTCGTTTATCAGGTGCCAATTTTAGTTTAAGAATTTATGATATTTAGTATAAGTTACCGTTACAGGTAGCCTGCTTAGAGTTTAGATGGAAAGTGTCAATAATAATTATATTTAAATGTAACATTACCTCTCTGATAAATTCATTTCCCGCAGCCTGTATTAATATGACTGGAGTGTCACTCATTGCAGCTTCATGTTTCTGAGAGAGTCTATGGGCGTCAATATCATCAGAGTTTAAAGTGAGGTCACAGATCTCACATTTCCAAGTATCCAATTTCGTTATGCAATAAAAGCTTGAGAGCCCCACAATTATTTTTGTGTTTATGACAACATCTTTGCCGCCCAGAGATGTGCCCTTGATCGCATAAAAATCATTGATGAATTTCTCGATGGACAGCATCTTGATTCCGTCGTCGTTGTCATCTTCATTTGCAAGGGACGAATCAGATGACAGCTGGCGGCTTAAAGCATTCTTCGCATTTAAACCACGTGATTTTCCTTTATTCGTACGTTTGTCGTTAACTTGTAACTGTTCGTTTGCAGCTTTCGCTAATTTGTCATAAATCCTTTTATGTTTAGACTCTAAGAAATGCGTTGTTGCACTTGCTTCAACATTCGTATTTACTGGTGTATAAACTTCGTTGCATGTTAAGCATTGAAACGCGTTTTCCAACTGAAATTATGTCAACTATTTAAGCACTGTAATCCGTGTTTGCAGTGGGACGCTATGTTTAATATTAGTTCATGAAACATTAAAATATGAAAATTAAATCGTATTTATTGCTGCTTCAACTGTTACGTCTAAAATTATGCTATAAAAATATATCAAAAGAACTAGACAATACAAAAAATTAAAATAAAGAAAAGACCACTTGACAATTTGAAATAATATACTAACCACTCTGTAGAGTCCGTTGTAAGCACCAAACTCCACATCTACCTGTACCAACTGAAAAAGATGTTCTTGGCTAGTTATGTGACTCTCCAGAGAATCAAATTCTGTGTCGCAGATTATGCACTTGTTCTCAATGATCCCATTCCATGCTTCTTTCGTGATAGGTATGTTTTTGTAGCTGACCATACCATTTTCCATCCGCTGGAATAGTTGGACGCCCTTATTACGGACGTGTTCACCATCCGATACGTGGAGCCGTCCTTGTATTATGGTTGAAAAGTATTTATTGCACAGCTCACAGAAGAATCCCTTTTTAACCTTTAGAAAAATTGAAGTAATATAAAAAATAGAAAACCTTCAGAAAAAGATAAGCAAATTTCTAACTTAGCATATTGAAGTGATTTGCGCAAACCTTTCTTATTTGATCAGTTGTAAATTCCTCCACGAAAATGCTAGCTTCCAGATTTGTTTTATGGTCATCCTTTGAAATGTGCCGTATAGTGTCTCGTTTGCCTGCGAGGTAGCATTCGCAGACAAGGCAGTACGACTGCAAAGTCCCAAATAAAATTGCGTTCTGGCTAAAATTCGAAGTCATCTTTGCGATGGTCAGCAGCTATAAAAAGTACTGGAACAAGAAGGTTTTATGTTGATTTTTATAACCATATTTAATTTTACTCTCAGTGCGATTTGCCACTTTAATTAATTACAGTGATGTTCTAATTAATGGATAGACATAAATGTATATGTCAATTTAGTTTCCGTAGAAACTTATACTTTGAACAAAACTGTTGAGCAAGCGAGTCTTTTGTACATGTACCGTTTCCGATAGAAAATTTGTAAGAGCGAATAATACTCGATATATCGAATAGTCTCGAGAAATTGTAAAAAATCTCGATCTCATCGCTTAGAGCCTTTGGGTCTACGGAAAGACTTTAATGCTCTTTGTGTCATGTAATGTCTCTTTCATGTCACTACAGAAATGCTTCAAATTATTCTATCATCGTCAATCGCAACTTCTGTTGTTGTAGAAGAGTTCGTCCATATCACTCGGAACCGCTGCATTCATCGAGGGAGCGAGTCATCGTTTTTAGAATGAATGAGCTTCTTCTCCATTGTGTTCCCCAAGCACTATGAAATGTCCTCACAACAAAGTTTGAAAAGAGTTCGCAGTGGTAGGCAGCATCTTGAATATGCCCCTACCACTGCTATTGTCCATTCAAGCTTCTTCAATCCAATGAGCAAGGGTAACCACTAGATGTGCTACCTGGTCATTTGCTTATTACGCAAAAAAGTAGTTAACATTGCCTATGGTCGCTCAAAAAAACTACTTATCGCTACCGACCGTCGTGTTCGGCTCCAACGCCAGTAGGCGTTCTTCCCTCTAGTGAATGTTACGGGACGACATGAATGGGCGAGACCGAGCGGCGCGCTAACCGGACTCTAGGTCGCTCTTCAGAAGAGCAACCGATTGGCGGTATATTACGTTCAGAAACGGCAGGCTGGTTCTGAACTAGCGGTGTATTCCGGAACACCAGCGGTATCATGTAGGGCCGCCGTACGGTGACGTCCGACGGAGAGTCGTAGACTAACGCCTCGACTACTCCGTCTGCCGGACATCCTTAGGAACAGCTGCGCGTCTGGTTGTAGTAGGTTGTTGTCCGGATTTTGTCTCGGGCGGCCATCGGACGTAGGGCGAGGGTGCAGGAGTCATTTAGTAGGTGAGCCTTTAACACTTTCGACCGCCAAGTCCCACATGTCCCGCGTGTCCCTCAGAACCTCGTAGGAGGTCCAACCTCGGCCCAAAAAAACAAAGGCCCCTTTATCGAGGCAAGCACACGCCTCCACACACAATTAAGTTTGAAGACAGGCGTCTTCACAATCTTAAAATTCCCAGCTTTAAACAGGTTTTGTTTTCGTATGCATGATTGAAGAATATTCACTGACTTTTGATTTACTTGGGTGTATACAATTCGAAAATCAGCTACCGAAAAGTAGAGAAAGCCCGTTAAAAATGTTCCCCATAAAGGTAACACCTACGTATATTTATTGGTTGTATTGAATTCAATATAAGGTTCTTTAAGCGTGTACACCATTAAAAAGCATCGATAATATTCTAAATTTTGAAAAAATATGCAAAGCAAGCAAAGTTGTCTGTTAAAATGCAACAAAACAATAAGATTTTTGAAACTTACTTTTTATAAGTGTTTCAGCTGAAGTAATGATGGACACTTTCAACACAATTGCGCCGAAAGGTCCAGTCAGGGGCTCAGCGACCCGTCAAAAGCGCTTGTGAATCAATAATAACAGATATGCGCAGTTGCGCGCGTCTAACAGTGTATTCTATCTATACATTTATTGTAAAGATTTCTAGCGGGATAACTAATTTCAAATTTATTATAGAGAGGAGAAAAATGATGTTGTCCTTAATAAAGAGACCAACAGCATGTACCGAATTAGTTTATACGAAAAAGTATAAGGCGAGAAGTATGTAATAGGGTCAAAATATTAATTTATATTGAACTATAGACAATACAGTAATATAATTTCATAATTTTTTGTTTCATAAGCTCAACTAAATTACCAGTTCTTGTAAGCAACAGCTGTAAAGGTGTATGGGTTAACGATGTGAATTTAATTATAAATATATTTTTTGGACAAGACAAGAACCATGATACTTATATGTTTTTAGTGTAAAATTGTCCGTACTGGAAGACAATAGTTAGCATTATTGGCATAGGTGCCATTGGACAGATGGCGATAAATGTGTTCCGTAAGCCACTAGGTATATGTAATAAATATTAATGTGAACAAGTTTAAAAAGCGTAATATATAAGTATAGGTAATAACTAATAAATTTAGTTCACGAATCCAAGATTTTAACTATTAAGCGGAAAAATCCGAAAAAACCTTTACATATCCGAACTTTTAAAGGATATTCCGAACGAAAATTGTTTTAAACGAGATATTATATTGAGTAGTTTTTAAGCTACAAGATACTTTCGATACGACGTTTCGAAAGTATAGAAAACTTTATTTTTGAATTCATTATTTTATCTATGGTCTTTCATGGTTATCAAAATTCATAGGACTTTTTGGCGGGCACGCAAGGAATGAAGTTGTGTGATTTGTTTTATTTTGTCTATTTAGTGTTTCTTCGGGTTTAAATGTGTAATAGCGGTGGTTTATTAACTGTTTAGTATCTGTGATAGTGCACAAATGCGGGAAAGTGAAACAAAGCCGCTGGACGTAACTTCTCGGGATCCTCCAAAAAGTCCACTGAAAAAATCTCAGTAAATGATCACCACTTTACTGAGATTATATTTCGTCCCGTATAATTTCATCTCATTTCATTTTATTTTATTCCAGTTAATTAATATCTCAAATTAATCATCTTCATTAAATTTCACTCCTTATTATCATATTTCATAAAAATAAGAAATGACTTAAAAAAGGTCTTAATTACCAGGTCATAAAATTCCTTAAAACAAAAAAAAAACAAAATTCATAGACGTCACAAGGACTCTTTGGCGGGAACGCGAGGAGCGTAGTTGTTTGAATGTATGTTTGGTTAATTTGGTGTTTCAGCAGTTTTAAACGGCTTGTTAACCGTTTAGCGTTTGTGAAATTGCATAAGTTTGGGAACTATATTTTTCGAGTTCCTTCAAAAGCTCCACTGAAGTCTTAGAAAATTTCCATCATTCTACTGAGCCCTTATTTTTCATCCCATCTAATCTCATTTCAGCCAATTAAATTCATATCATTATACTCCGTATCATTTTTCAATAAAAAGAATATGTTATTTTATAATTCACGATTTTTATAAATTCGACACTGACAGCTATGGCATCGCAAGAATCCATTTGCCTTTAAAAAACGAAGAAAGGGACGCCACTACGTAAATGCTGCCACTCTTTTTACATGAGATCATGATATATCTATCGCACATTTCGAACTTCGCGATAGAAGTTTCCTTCGATCTACGTACACTGGTCGTCGGTATATTTTGTACTGTCTGTACCTGGGGGAGAGCTTGGAGGAATTGTCAGAAATTATCCTGTCATCTTATGAATAAACATCGCACCATCCGCCACGGGAACAGAGTACATTACGTATATTTATGTTGTGCATTTCAGTTAATCAAAACCGCCGTCCAACTCTGGAATGAATTCCAGCGTTTGTCTATGGTAATGGTTTTATATAATATATATATATATATATATATATATATATGTATATGTATGTCAATGAATGTCAACAACCACCCATAGACACAGCCCACTGAGTTTCTCACCGGATCATCTCAGTGGGTCGCGTTTCCGATCCGCAGGGAGATTCTGTAAAGCACTGCTCTTGTTAGGGCCAGTGTTAGCAACACCTGATTTGAGTCCCGAGAGCTCACATACACGCTAGGGTAATGCTGATATAGCCTCTCAAGGCTATCAGCATAGGTAGGAAAAAAACAACAACCGCTACTCATTAAGTGGATGTAGAACCTTATTTTCTAATGCTAAATAAAAAACTATTATTGTATTATATTGTGGTGGATTCGTTTAAATGAAGCTTTTATTGAAGAACGTTTAAAGTATGTATCTAATGAATGTTTTAACACATGTGACGTCACTATCTTACTTCGAAACAAAAAGACATATTTTAAAGACAGAAAAAAGGTTTTATTGAGTTCTCATACAGTATCACGGTACATTATTATGACATCGACAAACTACTAAATATATTTTACATTTTTAATGACGATACGTCTTTTAAGAAACATTATATTATTTGTTTGATGTCAATGTATTGTCACGCGGGTACATTTCAGCCATGAAGGATAGTTTTTAGTGTGGCCATAATCACTAACTATAATGTAGTCATCATTGCAAATATTATATTGCGCAAAGTGATACCTACAAATAAAAAAATTAGTGCGATTAATATTTATGATTTGATATTAGAAATGAAGTATATTCGTATCAACGAAGCGATAAATATGTGGATTTTTATTACATACATCGACTCCATAGAGTTTTAGTTAAATCTACCCTCTTTTCTTTTTAATAAAGTAACGATCCGCATAAGTTTTTTTGGTTCTAGTTTCATCTTAGCATAGTCGTATACGAAATATTCATATACGAACATTCTTTTGGTTTAGTCGCGGAGTCTGTTCGAATTACATTTTAAACTAGATAAAGTAAAAAAAAAACAAATTAAAAATCATATTAAAAGGAAAACATGGCCTGTTTTTACTAGCACGTATCAAATTCTGGTCTCTTTTCCGTTTCAAACAAAATATTTGATATTAAATTACCAATCATTTTCGAACATTAAGTATTTTATATTTATTGATAAAAAAAAATCCCGTAATGCCGTTTACATGCAAATAGAACCTTAGCGCGCTGCAAACAAAGGCTAGTGGATAGATGACGTTCGTTTGATTAGTATAGCATAGGGAACAGCGTTTCGAATCAAGGGAAGCTAAAAATCACGGAGACAGTACAGGCCAATCTCCACAGACAGTCCAGTACAGTCTGATTACCAGACCAGCTGACTGGATTAAAATATTTACACATGTCCAGGTGTTGGTTTACACGATTATAGCCTCACAAGTTGAGCTGGCCTAGTAAAGACGGTCACTTTGATGAGAGATAGGCATCGTTTCCGGATTGGTGGAGACGAATCGTATAGGATTCAGTACATTCTGGTTTAACGTAACCACGACTGACTGCTCTGCTAAGAGCCTCACGACTGAGAAAAATAACAGACAACGTGAGCTGTTATATACACGCGTTACAGATGACGTCATCAATGTTATTAAAATCCGAACACACCGACTCCGAGCACTCTTGAATACACATTACATAAAAAAATTATTAAAAAAAAGAGTGCCCAGTTCTGATATAGAAATTCCGGACCTACGATTCACAGATTGAGTGCGGAATAAATTATTAAAAAAAAAAAAAACTATATTCATACAAAAGAAAACAGATTCTCATTTTTTTTAAACATATTATGTTTTTTTTTCTCTCTTTTAAATTAAATAATAACTTTAACATATACTTCTACTGGTTACGTTCTACACATAAATTACACATTTATTATATTTACGGTAAGCGTGAGCGTTGTTACATTTCCTTTAAATAATTGTTTTTTATCATTTTTACAATGATAGTATTTATATGTAGTACAAACAATTTAATTAAAATACGATATTTCGATATACGATATACATAAATATGATACAAAAATAAGATACTACAGATTTAAACGCTAGGACTTGTATATATACGTGTTTATTTACTCTGTGTATGAACCGCCAATTGGTAAAACAATTTAATTTTAAAATTAGAAATAACCTTTTTATACCACGTATATATACCCAACGAGGCCTAACTGAACTATTTCAATAAACAAAAATACATTCACCGTCAATGTAAAAACATTTTAAACATTGAAAATTAGTAATTACATTTTTATATAACTTCTAAACGAGAAATATAAAATTCACCATTCTTTTAGTGTAGCTTTAAAAAAAAGATGTAAGTAATGGTACGAATAGAAAAAATAGTTTTTATTTTTGTTTTTAATTGGATAATTTTTCATATTCCTTTTATCACAGATGTGGTAGCAGATAACATATGTAAAAAAACAGCATTATGCATTGTAACCCGTGTAAGTTAATTTCATATCATTTTTGGAAGTCTCTTTTGTTTTTGTTTTTTTTTTTTAAATCTATGTACGTGTATTATTAGTTACTTTTGATTTAAATTTATATCTAGTAATATGCGGAAATTTAATAAGTTACACAAATTTTGGCTCACTATTTACCATACATTTACTCATCTTTGTTAGAAGGCGTCGCCGCTCGGTTTTACACGGTCAGCCACCAATCGTAATAATTATAAAACGGTTTTAAATAAAAGCCGTACAAAGCGTGAAACGGCAGCGCCCTCTCTGTAAAAGTAAATAGGATATAGTACATAATTTACAAAGTACAACACCCTTCAAGATTTTTCATCTTACAAACGTATTAACATTACACGCAATGTAACACAATTAAACACACCGCGTAAACGGTTCCGGAAGCACTTCGCTTTACATTACGCGTTCATTGAATATGAACTAACAAAACGACGGTGTTTCATTCACTTCATTTAATATAGAACTTTGTCTATATCGACATAGTATAATGTTGCCATTCCGACTCCGGGAAAGGTATAATTACTACCTATATTAAGGTATGTTTTATTTATATTACATTTTAAGAGGTCGGAAAATGTTGCGTATTATGTATTATATTCTCTCACTTTATCTCAAGTACAAGTTATATTTTTTTTGAGTTTTATTTTATTTTTACTTTATCAACATACAATTTTATAATCTAAAAACTGATATGCTACTAGAATTTAATGATAATCGTTACTGTTACATAAATCGGTTCCTGCAATAAATAATTCACGTCAAACGTTTTACAGGAATCTAATCATGTCTAATTTACTTAGAAACTGAAAAAAAAAACCTTCACATCCATATTCTGATATCTTATAAAGATAAGTTTCTAAGTTGTAATTTATAAAAAATTTATTGACACTCCAGAATGATTGAGCAACCGAGAACTATTAAAATTGCGGTCAACTAAATTAATAACAAAGAAAAAAATACATACTAAGAATAAATTAAGTTTCCGTAAAATAAATTCGATCGTTTCATTTGTTCTGTTCAATATCATAAAAAAATACAATTAAATGAATGGTATTTTTTTTATTAAAATGTGTTGTTACACTACATTAATATGCACAAAAACGTCAAATCTCAGTAGGAATCAGATTACACAACAAATTAATAAATATTATAAAAGAAAAAAAAATTGTGAGTCCCAAAGTAATATTATGGATTGTTCTTTTTATTGCACTTGATTGTGATAATGTTTTTATAATTATTATTTTATGTAAATTAATGCTCACGCTCCGAACGTACATACTGTAAGGTGGTATTATTACGATCACCGTACATACATACATAACGATATATCAATCACCCTATAATTACAAGATGTTCGTAATAAAAAACGCAATGCAATACAAACTGGTAAGAGCGCTTTCTAAAAAAAACATAATTCTAATATATATTTTTCAACTGTTATATGCACGTTATATGCAGGGTACATACAAGTCAGCTGAACAAATCAGTACAAATACAAAGTAAACATTTCTCAAAAAAAAAACTTGTATAAAATGGAAACGAAACGGAATAAAATAAATATTATATCAAAATTAGAATGATATTTTGGTTTTCGTTTTTTTTTTTGGAAAAAACAAGACTGTTTTTACATTAAATGTATTGCATACAATATATTATTATTGCATACATGTATTAATTCACAACCGCGTCGACAAAGATTTCACGAAGGAACACCAACCATAGATATATGTATGTAGATGAAAAAGATTTTTTTTACGGACTGAATGCAATCAGATATCTTGTACATAAGATTCCAAAAAAAAAAATTACTGACTGTAATCCATTAATCACCGCGGCCATTTTGAATATCAATGCAAACAAAATGGCGTCGTGATGGAGATCGCGAAGCCGTTAACTAAATTGAAGACGCGGAATCGCATTTGTTTTACTCTTGGCACTGAGTGCGTTCTTCGCTATCGTCTTGTTCTTTTGAAACTGTTGATTTATCATCTCCGGATTCTGCTACGTCTTCGGGATTCAAGTTCTCGTCCTTTTCTTCTATGGGCGCGTGTTCGTTGCGTAAGCTGGTAACGCCACACTCGCCGGTAGGACGTAGGACAAGATACATTAGCAGATCCGAGAGAGATATAATTCCGATGACTTTATCGTCATCATCGACGACGACTAGACGATGTACCTGAACAATGAACATTTTTAATATTTTATATATTATAATTATACAAAGGAAATTAAACGTCTAAAATGGACAAAGTTAATTAAGTGACGGAACATCGGTAATTCGGTAATAGACTAACATGAGTTTGGTTGAGACTAGCAAACTCTGGCCATTTTGGATAATAATTAGTAATAAAACAATATTAAATAGACTGTACCACTCAAATTTCGGTTTAAAATATTAAAAATGTTGGTTAGGCTACACAAAGTCATTATATTTTATTACAATTACATTACAGTTATACTATTGGACATAGTTCGAACTGGGTCACGGTTTGCTGTGATTCGTTAATTGTTTGAAAAACATCCGATTTATTCAAACCAGTTGCGCGCCATCTATTTTGATTTTCATATTACTACGACAGAAACCTCGCCTAAGGCACCAAATTCTATGACAGCCGGGTAAATAGTATAGAAAAGTATAAAAAATCAAACTCATGTAAGATCTGATATACGCAACAAATAAATTTGTATATTTAAATATCTTTGAGCAATGAAGCAAAAACTTTGTACCCCTTTTTATGAAAATTTCGCGGACGGAGGAGCATCAAATTTCTCACACTGATAGAGAATATAGAGGAGTGCAGAATTTTTAAATTATAAATAAAACAATCATTAAATTAATAAATCAAAAAACATTACACACATTACCATGTATTTGAGACGCATAGGCATATTTATTGTTGAAGTGCGTTAATAAATATTGATATTATTTGTCTTTAACATTATTTGCCTATAATGTAGCCTTTGTGATTATAGAAGTATAGTCTTTGACAATAGAACCATGATAATGTTCAAACTTATAATTTAAACTAAGCATTATTGTCGAATTTCGTCTATGGGCGACCACTAGTAATTGTATTTTTTACTTTATTTTATTGCTTACGTCTGTGTACAAGCTCACAACCTACCTGGTGTTAAGTGGTTACCGGAGCCCATGGACATCTACAACGTAAATGCCGCTACCTACCTTGAGATTTAAGTTCTAAGGTCTCAATATATTTACAAAAATATAAAATATAAAAATACCTCGGCCCGAACGATTCTTTCCATAACATCGAAGAGTGTTTCGTCGAGTTTACATTTCTGAACGCCCTCGAACCACTCGTTCCGATGTTCGTTAGCCGTTTTCAGTGTAACGTCCAGATTATTATACGTCTTTTCGGCTGCCAGGTTCTGTAAATTAAAACGGTATTGTTTTATGGAGCAGTGACGTCATAAGCTCGCGTCTGACACAACCTTCTGCAATTCGTACATATTAGGTATTTATCTATGGATTTTTTTGGCGGGAACGCGAGGAGTGAAGTTGTGCGATTTGTTTTATTTTGTCTATTTAGTGTTTTTTCGGGTTAAATGTGTAATAACGGTGGTTTATTAACTGTTTAATATCTGTGAAAGTGCACAAATGTGGGAAAGTGAAACAAAGCCGCTGGACGTAACTTCTCGGGATCCTCCAAAAAGTCCACTAAAAAATCATAGTAAATGACCACCATTTTACTGAGATTATATTTCATCCCATATCATCTCATCTCATTTCATTTAATTTCATCCCAGTTGATTAGTCTCACAAATTAATCATCTTCATTTCATTTCATTTCACTCCATATTATCATTTTTATAAAGATTGGAATATAAATTAAAATAAGACATGACTTAAAGGTCTTAGTTACCAGGTCATAAAATCCCTTAAAACTGTATACAAAAAGTTAATATCATGTTTTTATATATATTTTTATTTCTATCAATCAAAACATGCACCTCTGCTATGGCAATGGCAATTTTTGGAATGACCTTCTTGAAAGTCACGGGTGCTATGGGAGCTAATATTATTCAAAGGCATTTTGTACTGCCTCTCGGATATTATATTTTTTCCTTGTCAACAAGAAAATATATCTGTTGGAAAAAGTAGAAGTTTTTCGTCGCAAGTTCTGATGGGTACGGTAGATGTATGCAAAGCTTCGAACTCTTGCAGCTTAGCTTGCAGAGACCGACTTTTGAACCGGAAAAAATATTCCTTTATGTCTTGAGTAAGTTTGTCTACCTGATTTGAAGGCGGGGCTTGGGAATGGCTTAAGACGAAAAAGGATGCACATATGTGCGCTAATGACGTCACTAGCATCGAGTCCACTACGATCGCACTCACAATGACGTCAAACTTGGCGTAGATGTCTTTCAAGCGTCCTTCGGGATCGATCAGGGGCAACGCCGAAACGCGCCTGTTCACGAATTTCTTCAGGGCTTCGATGATCGAGGTCTCCTCGGTGGCGGTCTCGATGTCGCTAAGGGTGCCGATGCGGAGATCGCGAATCTTACTCTTCAGGTACGACGGCTTTGGTAATTCGTTTATCTGTAAAATAAAAGTTTCGCAAATTATAATTTGACTCAGTGACACTTTGAACGACTTTAATTTCGATTATCGTATTATATATTGTACATATCGAGGGATGAAAAGCCCTTCGGTTTAAGTGACTTTTTGGGAACTTTACAGGAGAACAATTTAAAGATTAAAATTTGGAAAAAATATCTTAACCATAAAACTTCTTCAGCTGTTTGAATAGAGTAAACTAAATTGAAGTTCAATTAAAAACATTGAACTGTTGATGCTATAATACCAAATAAATCGCACGTTTAATTACGAAGATATGTAAATGTGGCGTATTAAGCGAAATGTCGCTTAAGCCGAATACAGCCTTTCGCCCCCCGATATATGTATGTATATATCGTTAGGTTCGGATCGCGTTCAATTTAAATTTAAACCTATACAATATTTTAAATATTTCAGCAAACGAATTCAATAATATGAGCTTAACGTGGTACTGGATGAACACTGGGATGGTGCAGCAAACAAGATTATGAAACTGACGTTAATTCTTAATGAACTACCTACATCTTAGCGTTATCGGCTTTTAACAAATTTAATGTCAAAAAGGAGATACTGGTCTTCTAGTGGTAGGACCTGTTGTGAGTCCGCACGGGTAGGTACCATCACCCTACCTATTTCTGCCGTGAAGCAATAATAGGTTTCGGTTTGAAGGGTGGGGTAGCCGTTGTACCTATACTGAGACTTTAGAACACATATCTCAAGGTTGGTGGCGGCATCTACGTTGTACATGTCTATGGGCTCCGGTAACAACTTAACACCAGGGGGGCTGTGAGCCCATCCATCCATTGATGCAATAAAAAAAAGATCTGAGTACAATTTAATTTTTATGTGTGCTTTTCCTAGATGAACCGATTTTGATGAATCTTATTTTAATATAAAAAATGGCGTTTCTCATGCGATTCCATTTAAATTTTATCAAGATCGATCGATTAGTTTTTGAGTTATCCTTAAAAATGTATATTTTATTAATTTCCGACTACATTGATGATATTATCATTTTGTTTTTTTTTTGTTCAAGTCAGTTTTTAAATTTTATCAAGATCGATCGATTAGTTTTTGAGTAATCCTTAAAAATGTATATTTGATTAATTTCCGACTACATTGATGATATTATCATTTTGTTTTGTTTTTGTTCAAGTCAGTTGACTTCTTTTCGTTGTGTTAAAATTTTGTATCTGTAAATGTATTTAACGTGTCCACTGAAACGTTTCTATTAATTTACATATACATCATACATACATACATATATAGAAAATAAATTCTCGTAACTAAGAAGTCGAAAAATATTACACAAAAATGTATCTACTCTTTTTAGACAAAAACACACCAAAAGTCTTTATATATATCCGATTGCTTATTTAACAGGAAAAATGAAGAATGAACTGAATAACCGATAAGAACAAACATTTAAAAAGAAACAACAAAACACGTATTGATTATATTCCCTTCAGTTTTCTCGAGTCGGAAACGCAACTAAAATTACTTGTTTTTTTTTTAGTATAATTAAATTATTATTACCAAAGTTTCGAATACTATACAGATTTCGTGATCGCGAATGACTAAGGTGCTATTCGTCGACATTTGATTATTTTACTGCACAGCTAAACGTAAAAGTACTTTTAACTAGCTGACCCGGCAGACTTCGTAGTGCCTTAATCGATAAATAAAAAACCTAAACCGTTGTATAAAATAAACTTAGAACAAAAAAAAGGAAAAACAAAATTGTTATTTTTATTTAATTCCGGGCAATTTCATATTTATTTACCTTTTAAACCTTCTCTGGACTTCCACAAGTAATTCAAGACCAAAATTAGCCAAATCGGTCGAGCCGTTCTCGAGTTTTAGCGAGACTAACGAACAGCAATTAATATTTTTTTAAATATAGATTACGTAAACCGAGATCGACCGGACAGTCGATAAAAGCGTAAGGTTGATTATATTGGATAATGGATACTTACATACAAAAAGAGGAATCTCAGTATCCTCTTGTGCGTCAGTATGTAGAGCACGTTGCCGGTGTCGGGATCGATGACCGGTAGACGATGGATGCGGTTCGTGATCAACATCCTTATGGCTTCGAACAGTGAAGAATCAGGACCGATCGATACGAGCGGCATCACTGAACCTTTCAACACGCCTGCCAAACAAATATAACTGACCGTCAAAAACGGCAGCTGCAAAGAATAACATTGTAACTCAGTTTTAGCTTAAACATGATTTACAATGTTATTCGTTGAATGTGTCGAAATATCGCTATGAGAGAAAAAAATTACACTACCGTCAAATATGATTTACAATGTTATTATTTGCATGTGTCGAAATATCGCTATGAGAAAAAATATACACTACCGTCAAATATCATTTATAATGTTATTCTTTGAATATGTCGAAATATCGCTATGAGAAAAAATTTACACTACCGTCAAATATGATTTATAATGTTATTTCTTGCATGAGATATCGTTAAGAGAAATTTTTCACACTGTCGTCCTACCTATTACTTTCTACGTAGAACACAAAAAACAAACTCAGTTGTGTTATTTCAATGAAACTGAGACTTGTCCACATGATCATCCCCCATATTGTATACTACAATAACCTTCCACTCTTTATTTTCTCTGTGACTAGCACTAATTTCAGGCTTCCTCTTTTTTATTTCCCTTGTAGACAGATAAGCGTACAACCCGTGGTTACCGTCATTCATGGACATCAAAAATAGCAACGCTGAGTGTTATATGCATATTATATGTATTTAGTATAGGACCTATACCTATATAGGAAGTAGTAAATAGCCTACCTCTTATATACTCATATCTAATTTTATCCATTCGTTTTACTACACACATCATCTCAACATTCGCCTTTTTGCTGCGTGCATTATTTTTTCATCTACCGCTTTTATAGCCCTGTCCAGTCTAGCACTCTGATCCATACAATACGACGGGGTCTTATAGTTGATTTCTCTAGATTGGTTAAGGGACATTCGCCTATATTAAGTAGGATTATGCTATCCAAATATGAGGAGTGTTATCGTTTCTTTCTTGTTTTATGCACACGAGTTCACGGCACGATAGTTGACACATATGCGGTGTTGTTATTTGCAAACCAGCAGGGTCCGCGTTCAAACCCGAAAGCCAGGCCAACCTTCTTTTTTTTTAACACTGGGGAATCCGATTACGGATGCCCGGTCGAGGAGGGTGACAGACCGGGTTATGTCGGACTCCGGCGCCTCCAGATAAGAGGAACCCCCATGATTTGTAAGCGGAGTAAAATGTCCCTTCGGAACAAGGTGACACTTTACAAAACTTGCATAAGGCCCGTCATGACTTACGCGAGTGTGGTGTTCGCTCACGCGGCCCGCACGCACATAGACACCCTTCAATCTCTACAATCCCGCTTTTGCAGGTTAGCCGTCGGAGCTCCGTGGTTCGTGAGGAACGTTGACCTACACGACGACCTGGGCCTCGAATCTATACAGAAATACATGAAGTCAGCGTCGGAACGGTACTTCGATAAGGCTATGCGTCATGATAATCGCCTTATCGTAGCCGCCGCTGACTACTCCCCGAATCCTGATCATGCAGGAGCCAGTCACCGTCGACGCCCTAGACACGTCCTTACGGATCCATCAGATCCAATAACCTTTGCATTAGACGCCTTCAGCTCTAACACTAGGAGCAGGCTTAGGGACCCCGGTAACCGTACTCGTCGAACTCGACAAAGAGTTCGCCGTGCAACCTAACCCATGAATCAGCTCGCTGAGTTTCTCGCCGGATCTTCTCAGCGGGTCGCGATTCCGATCCGGTAGTAGATTCATTCGCGAAGCAGCTGCTCTTGAGCTGTTAGGTCTCCTTCGGAGGCGCTCGGGTAGCTGTTAGCAAATCCCACCCCTCCTGGCTGAGCCTTTGCTCGACCACCTGTCCTGGTGAAACTGGAAAGGCCTCCGGGCCACCAGTAATCCTTCAATCATAAAAAAAAAAAAAAAAAAAAATAATAAGAGGAAGACAAAGTAAGGCCGTACGGGCGCTGGTAATACGCCTAACATTTAGGAAGTTTCTTCTAAAAGTGCCATTAGTGACATTAGTTTGCTCATCTACTAACGTATTAATTTGGTAACAGAGATACTTAATCACGAAATTTCATTTTTGCACTGAACAAAATTATAAAATTATCACTTATCAATCGTCATACAAGTAATTTAGTTACTCGGAAGACACATCATATTTTTTTCCTAAATATCGATATGTATTTTTGTTTCGCTTGCGGTTTGATTAATGTATGGATGGCTAAAATTCTAAATCTAAACAATGTTTTTCGGTCATTTGTTTACTGATTGGTGCTTTGTTGTCATTAAATTTGTACACTTTCTACAACATGGACTCGATAAAAATACGAGTCATTATCGAATACGAGTTCCGTCGCGGAAGCAATGCTGCATAATCGGCTCACAACATTAATGACGTGTACGGAGTGAACACTAAAAAGGAACGCGCGACTCGATATTGGTTTGAACGCTTCCAACATGGAGAATGAATCCCGTGGTCGCCTGAAAACTAACATCAACTACGACGAATTAAAGGCGATAATGGAATCTGACGATACTCAATCTATCGCTGGTTTGCAGCATCTTTCACTGTTGATGTCGAAATCAAGCGACTAAAAAATCCAACCATCCTTCGTGACAAATGTGAATACATCGCTAACATACACTTAACCTTGTGAGGTGTACATACATACGTCACGCTAACTACTTATGTTACGGATTTAGAAAAAAAGAACGTTCTGGAAAAACCGCGAACCAGTCGCACCTTCGTCTCTAGCCCACACTTGAATATCAGAGACATACAGTCCTATATAAATGAATTAATCTTTTTTAATAGTAATTCTTTTTTTTCTTTTTTTTTTTATTGCCCTTGTAGGCAGACGAGCATACGGCCCACCTATACTCATGAACCTATCCCAAGACAACGTTTATTTTAGAAATGATCGTCGAATATTCGAAATTCCACCACATTGCATTCGACTGCATATTTCTTTTATTATAACCTTATATATATATAATATTTATATATATATAAACACGTCATTACGAATCCTCCTTATCCATTAACGGTGCTTTTAGGTACCTCAAGCACCGGTCACCGTCCTCGCCGAACCCGTCGCTTGCGACGAAGGGCTCGACGAGTAAATTAACCTATAGACACAACACACTGAGTTTCTCGCTGGATCTTCTCAGTGGGTCGCGTTTCTGATCCGGCGGTAGACTCTGCGAAGCACTAGCTAGGGCCAGTGTTAGTGGCACTCCCGGTTTGAGCCCCGTGAGCTCACCTATTAGCTCGATGAATCTAGAATAACCCCTCGAGGCTACTAGTATAGATAGGAAGAAAAAAAAAGTTTAATCGCAACATCAAACACTCACGGCGCCACGTCTCGAGGCGGTGTTCCTCGAGCTCTTCCATTTTGACGTCGGGGCTCGTGTAGTACATCTGTAGTATCTTGATGAAGTCCGTTATAGTCAGCATACCAACGAACTGCTGCTGGTTCGAGTCCCACAGCGGGGCGGCTCGCACGCCTGTGGCCAAAATGTTTGGTTGCAATCGTTTTTTTACCGGACAACCAAATATAAAATTTCGTTTACAGCAAAACCGATTTCGGTTGCGACAAAACATACAAAAAATAAAAAAACGTACAAAGAAAATTATAATAATAAGCCAGAAAGAGTTTCGCTAGAGCATATAAATATGATTCACAAAACCAATTCGCGCTATTCACGGAGGGACGGACGCCTTTGATGTTTTATAGCATTCGTATTACAGTGTCCAGACTTATAATATATATATTCGCTTTGCGTAACAAAAAAAGAAAGAAAAACGAAACTTCATAAGATAATATAGAACTATCGAGAAATTCGGTAGGCACTGCTAGCGACTGCAAATCAAGTGTTTGCGCAGCATTAGTAGAATCTGTTGGCAACAGCGTGTTAAATCAACATAACGAATATAGTTTTACGCTAAGCAAATATTATTATCCGAAATGATTTAATATTTGATTTGGTTACTTTATATTGATGTAAATGGAAGGATTCGTTTCAAGCCCTACGCCCCAGCAGAGGGTAATAGGTAAGAAAGAAGAAGAATATTGATGTTAAATTAATCATATGAAAACAATGCAAATAATAATAAACAAATAGGAATGTCAGAATCCAACTCACCATTGTAAACAAGGGCGAAGAAAGCCTTCTTGACCAGGAGTTGCGTGTCGAACACGACCAGCTTCGCCGAGGTTGGTATCAGATCGTAGCACTTGTGAAACTTGAAGAACTTGACGAATATTTGCGACTCATCTTCCTCTGTAACGTAGAGAAGACCGGTGAAACATGGCGCCAATCTCGCACTCATTCTTACGTTAGAGTTTAAAGAATAAACAGGAATTACGGAAGACGACTAAAAAAAATCAAAGACTTTTTTGTGTCCGATATTAATAACCCCATTTTATATATCGAAAAGAAAGAACATTAATTTAGTTGTAGACACCCTCTAAATCCTCTAAAATATATATTTAGAGGGCTATAACAATCACGTAACTGCACTGTACTGTAATTGTACGAACAGCTCGCTAAAGTTAACAAGGTACGTAACAACCGTCCTGTCTACACCTGCGCGGCGGTACAATGTCTCCGGTTTCTTGGGTACGGCAAGGATAAGGATACGAGTAACCTATGTTGTTTGGATACAATATTTTAACCTATTATACCAAACTGAGTTGTGATCGTCTAGTTGACTTACGTATACCGTCTACAGCAATCACGTAAATTTACCATAAATACAGGTCGCTACATGAAAATATATACACGACAGTCGGTTGAATGGTTATCTTCGTTTGTAATCATCATTAATACTATCCCTCAAATTATTTTATCATAACGCAACCACTGTTTTAATTATAATTTAATACTTTATGATGTTCCCAATTAAATTTGAATTATATAAATAATTAGTCCGAAGCAAGAATCAAACAAACATGTAGATCGCCTTATTAGTGGAGTAGTAAGTAACCCTGACTACTAAAACGCGGTTCCGTATGTATAATTTATATAAATATAAAATATCACATTATAAATTTGAAAGGGTGTTTGTCCATTTTTGTTTTTGTTTGTCCTCCTTTAACGTCGAGATGAAGCAACGGATTGAGGTGTTTTTTTTTTTGAAGTAATAGTATCGAGTCATTAGAGTGACATAGGGTACCTTTCACCGAAAAAACACCTTATATCCACGGAAAATCATACTGCTAGTTTTCCTGGACCACGCGAGTGAAGCCCAGGGTAACATTTAGCTATTAATATACTTGGTACAAGAGATCACAACGTTCCCGCTTACTAGTATGAAGAACGTCTATTGGAACGTTTATGTTTCATATGTCGATAACATAATAATTTATATTAAGCACATTACGTAAATCACATGTGTCAGGCAACGTTTATCAACAACATATTATTGTGTGATAAAACGCAGTGCACAACTGATTGCAACTAATTGGTACAGACTGAGTATTGGTGTCGAGTAAACAATATTGCAATTATATTGGAAAATTAATTTAATGATTTCATAAATAAAAACATCAAATTTAAGAATTTCGTCTTAAAATCAGTTATAAAAGAGGTGAACGCACGCGGTTTAGCATTCAAAAATGCATCGGGGTTCCGTGAAATAGTGAATGAATTGATCAAAAACCCTTTATGTAAATTTGACTTGACCACTCTTAAAATCGGTCAGTGTTGAACGTTATACTCGTATAATAAAATTATTGTTATTAATGCCATACATGCAGATTCTGATCGAGAATTACAATAAAACATGACGGTTAATTCATAAACTATTAGTATATCCATCGTGTTTATACTAATGATGTAAAAAAAATTCAATTTCATTCAAAACGATTATACTCGAACTTATCTATGTTTTGTAACACAAATTCAAAATTAATAAGGCATGTACTTATTTATGGTAAAGTTCGCTCCGAGCATCGTTAATTCAAATTACGAATCGAAGGCATTTTATAATATTAATAATTTATTTTCGTTGCTCTCTTAACCGTGAAACACATTTAACCTTGGTGATCAATAGTCTGTTCCGTAGTTTTGTATTTTCAATTGCCCCTCGTCAAGGCAAACGGCGCGGCGCAGCGTAATCGCGGCAAACAATGTCGCGTGTTAATTCAATACATAAACATTAAAAAATGTTTAATTCGCTGTATAGTTATGAAAAACAAAAAGTTTCAATACATGAATTGTGCACGAAAATATCATAGAAACGGAATTAAGAAGGAGAACGTATGGATCAGTATTCCATAATACCGAACGCCATTCGGCATTTGTCTTCGTTCCCAGAATTAAATAAAAATGAACAAAATAAATATTTTACTAATATTTTCGTCTCATCACGCAATGTTCAGTACTTTAACGAATGCTTTGACGAATTAAATATACAATAAATTACAAAATTGCTATATAATTTGGTATATCTATATCTATAGCTAACTTATATCTATGTTTGGATATTCTTAAATTTGTCTCTTTTTGCCCTCTTTTCGTTTGGTCTCTCTTACCCTGTCTTGGAAATATTCTTTGCTCATGAGTCAAAAAAAACATGACATGTACAATGTGTTAAGTTAACAAAATAAAAGGTGAGTTCGAATCTATTTTCAGAAATCGTTCTTACTACACGACCTTCTAGATTTTTTGAACCTTATGACGGAGACCATAATCAGTCCTTTACTAACAGTAACAGTAACAAGGCAACATTCAGAAATCGTTCTTACTACACGACCTTCTAGATTTTTTGAACCTTATGACGGAGACCATAATCAGTCCTTTACTAACAGTAACAGTAACAAGGCAACAGCCTACCCTTGTCTAGCTCTACGTGCTATTAAGAATCTTCTTGATACAATCCCTATTCAAGATTTCAATAAAATTCTTAAGATATTGCATTCCATTTTGCATACAGTGCAAATTTGAGATCTCGCATATAAACGGATGTATTATTTTTAGTAATTTGGTTTCAAACTTATCCTATACATGCTCTATGGTGCTTATAAGAAGTAAAAGCACTATACTCCAACCCGCCCCTATCGTTAAAAGCAGCTGTGAAGGAGAGCGATATTAAAACCTGAATAATGCAATATAAAGTTCGTCAAGTTTCCAAAACGCTCTCTAAAAAGTTATTGGTGATGAATTTATGAACGTAAATTGATTAATTAGTAAATTACTTGTTATTAATATTAAGATAATGATATATTTAACTAATCATCATGTATTATGTAGTTACCCGGATAGTTATCGCGTTAGTTAGATATCGATAAGAATATTTGTCATTGTAATTTCAAATCATTTCTATGACATTTTTATAATATAGTTTTTAAACGATTAGCATGCAAAGGTTATGCGTTTTCTGTACTTTTGAAGTTTTTACATGCATTAATGTTCCTAATTATGAGCGTGACCTCGGGCAAAGTCAAAATAGGCAAAACATATTTTTTGATGGCCAGGACTCTCAAGCAGATGATAACAACGGAAACCATGAATATTGTAATTTAATAATCCTTTAAAAAAACCTACTATTATAATATTTAAAACTATTATTTTTTTCTATCGGGAACTACGAATACAACAAACTGTAGTTTTCGAAGCGTTGCAAATAATATAACGACAGTAAAAAAAAAACGTAAGTGCAAGTAGTTTTAATTATATTTAAGACTCTCTGGAACCGAAAAAATATTAAATTTATTTTTGTACGCGTGCCATTACCCTCTTCGTTCTGAGAGCCCGAAGGTTACGCGAAGCGTATTTATTCAATCTTGTTCTTCAATTCCCGCTTATATAGTATATTGCCGTACCAACGCTTCTCGTTCAAGAAATTGCAGCGACACGACATTGGTGCCACGGTTCTCTTAATTTATCGAAAGTTAACATTTTTAATTGTCACCTTTTTGCGATAGTTTTAATTAATTTAGTAAAAAGCGCATTAATTAAGTTAATATGTAATGTGCCACAACAATTTCTTAATAGTATTCCAGGGTCGAAAGCACAACGAACATTTTTCCGATTCCTACTGACATGAAGCAGTTATTACGTACAGAAATGTCTTTGGAATTTCTTTTACTAAAACGTTTTTATTTGACATGTTGATACATCGTACATCGCGTCTCCTGTTGCTAGGTGTAAGCCTGTACCAATGCCAACGAATGCAGGAAAACTAGTCATAGTTTTGTTTATTTACGTTCAGCACCGATGCCGGTGAGTTGCGCGAGCGGTTCTGAGGCCATGACGTCACGAGAAACCTCGAATGACGGCAGCAATGGCTTAGATTTGTTTAGCATTGTAAGATTTTAATACTATTTCGAACATGATTTTCTTTTAAAACAATTAGGCTATTTGAACTAAAACGGTCATAGTATTGAGTTTAGAAGCTTTCAATAATAACAGGATCACCATCTTACCTTGGAACTAGACCATTAAACGCACTCATAATTCACAAAACGGAGCATCGAAGTAATAACCAAAAATATTATTTAATTATTTTATTTTAATAAGATAAAACAAAAATACGAAATTGCTGTAGGAGACGGTGTAATTATTTTGTTTTCATATTTAGATCTTGGTTATTCCGAATGTTGACTTCAATTATCACAACGAGAATTAAGGAAACCGATGAGAGATGACGCTTAACGATTTCTTGTGGCACCTTTGTTTATTTGCATGCAGCTGCGCACAGTAACATAACGAAAACATCAACAAGCGACGCTCCGGCGGCGTGGGTGACATAAACAATCTAACACCTTTCAGGAGCCAGTCGGCAAGGAACGCCTTCCATGCCCGTCCGACCGCTTCGAATTCCTTGATGAGATCGATGGAGTAAACGGACTCCTCGGAGTCGTCGACGGCGAGCGCGGGGTTGTCCGAGAAGTAGTGTAAGCGCAGCATGCGCAGAAGCCGGGCAGCGCATTGCCCGTCGCCATGCGCCACTCGGTGCGGCCCGCCGCGCCTCCCACGGCTCACTGCTATTTATAAGCACCACGTCTGCCGACGACCGCTGCCCGCGCCGGGAGACGCGCGACGAACTTGACACCGCTTCTAGACGCGCAACTGCTGCTTGGCCGCCTGCCCTGTACCGATCCACGCCCACACCACAAACAGGGGATACGTGACCCAACCACAACCAATCGCGCATTCTCTTACCAAACAAATTCGTTCTGGTCATGACCGTCATAAACAAAAATACAAAGCGCAACATTCATTCGCCACTTAAAAAAAAAAGGACTAAGTTTCAAAATAACGATCTAAATTTAAAATTAACCTTTAATTTTCTCAAGAAAAATGATATCTTTTATATGACTCGAATTCGTATTAGTCTAAATCATTGTAAAGAATAACAACAGTTTAGACATATAAATACAGGACAAAAGGAAAATACTCCGGTACGACGTTGGCAACTCTCCTCGATAATCTATGTTTAGAATATCAAAACCGTGCATGCCACAACACAGACCACACGGAAGAGACGATCGTACGATGATCTCTATGAAAGCTCAACTAAGAAACCGCGTCGCCCGCAAGGTCGTTTTAGACGTATTTATGTCCATACTGTTCAATTACACATCATTAATCGCTAACTGTATTCGAAATTATACCTTGCATTCATTCCTAGCATAATCAGATCTATTACAGAATTGCTGGTAATACTTTTGAGTATGTATGTATATACATATATATTAATTTCATACAAAGTGCTCGAAACAAATGTAATTTTAAACCCAAAAGCTGGCGTACACTTGGTGCCTTTTGAGTGCTTAGGTGAGCGCAAAGGATTAACAATGCGAACACCACTATCAATCGTAGTGTTTTCCTTTTTAGCTGTACAGTTTAAAGGATGACTCCTTCGCGATAAATGTAGGCGGAAGCTGGTGCCTACAACCTGACTGCAGGATTTGACTTCTCGGGGACCGACATAAGACAGTCTGTTACCCCCCTCGACCAGGTTTCAGCAAACAGATTCCCCAGCGTTAAAAAAGAATTTGCCATAGTGCACGCCATAGTTAGTTGGCGGACGCCATAGTTGCACCACTCGATATGAGGACACAGGACGTCTTAACCATTAGGCTACGACGACCTCTAAACATGGGAGACAAACCTGAGCCGCGGACTAGATAGAGTGGAAGGAGCAGCCATTTAAATACTGTGCGAATCTCGAATAATGCCTTCCTGTTTCTGCCATGGTTGTGCTATGCTCCGATGCTATGCTATGCTTGTTAATTTTTATCATCTAACCGAGTACCACATATTATAAAAAATATTAAAAAGTACTTGCAAAACAAATTAATTATTACGTCAGAGTGTAATAATATTCAAAATGAAAGTTAAAGACTTAGACAATTTTTTTTTAATTTTTTTGTATATTATATTTACTGACTCAAGCCGGAATTCAATTCCGAACCTCATACAAGAGTTCACACAAAGCACTGTGGTCAAAACGACGTAATTGCATCGTTAATTCGACATTGCTTAGAAAAAAATCATTTTGTTATTCGTGTTTACATTGTTGATAATAAAATATCATTAGCCTCATAGTTTATCACTCATCCGTGTACTTTCAAAATACTATTGCACCACAGTACGTACACCACTCCCGAAACTAAAGTTAGAAAAACGGTTTAGCCACTGTTTGTTATTCCTAATATATATGTTTGTTTTCAAACAGAAGGCTAGTCACCAAATTCTAGATCTTTCGGTTGATTTCAGTTTGTATTGGACGTGAATAACTAACATGTGATTTTTTTCTTTTTTTTTAAATGTATAATTCGATTACTAAATAACTTCGAGATTATACTAAGTTGCAATTTATCAAAATACTAGCGGACCGCTCCAGCTTCGCTCGGGCCTTTAACAAAATTTTGAAATTAAAAAATTATAATACACACACCCTTCTATTTGCGTCAGGTTACTAAAAAAAGAATATTATAAAGACTAGAGGTCCCACAGTAGTCGAAATTCGACTATAATTAATTGGAATTATAAGTTTGTACACTATTATGATTGTATTTTATACTTCTATAAACACAAATTTCGCCAAGACTACACTATAAAAGAATATTAATAAAGACAAACAATATAATATAATCTATTCTCAATTTGACAACAGACGTCAAGAACAAAAATTTGACAATAAATAGTATGCATGCGTGTGTGCGTCAAATACATGGTATGTAGTGTGTGTAATGTTTTCTTTATTGATTTAATGTATCTTTTATGCATTATTTAAAAAAAATATTAGCATTGTGCACTTCTTCTCTATATTCTCTATAAGTGTGGAAAATTTCATACTCCTCCGTCTGCGCAATTTTCGTAAAAAGGGATACAAAGTTTTTGCTTCACGTATTAATATATAGATAGTTTGAATATTATTATTTTAATCAACGCGCGACGTCGACAACGACATCGTATACGATATTATTTTGACGATGTTTTATTTTTTAAAATTAAAGAACACTTTATTGTGACATAACTATAATAGATAGACATATGCTGCCGCGACACTTTTTGTAAATAATAATATGTTCTATAAAGTCATACCACATTATTTTATTCTATCATCAATAGTTTTCGCCGCGCACGCGATGTAAAGAATATTTTAGCTAATTTTTTTACACCTTGGGTTACATTATTGGACTTTAGTAAGGATTCTTAATTTTTGTTAAAAAAGAATATAGCCTATGTCATTCGGGGTAGTGTAACGTCCAAACAGTGAAAGAATTTTTCAAATAAGTTCAGTACTTTCGGAGCCTATTCAATACAAACAAACAAACAAATCTTTCCTCTTTATAATATTAATATAGTATACATATGACTTATCTAACGTCTTGAAAAATACTTTTTTCATTGAAACCTGCAAACAAAACAACTTTGTAAAGGGGACAAAATGATATTTTTCGTTTCCTTTCATCGTCGAGACAAATGGCTCTGCTTATATTTTGTAGTACACTACAACCTAGGGCCGCGGACGCATACATTTTTACTTTAATTTTGTTATTAATAAGTAATCGTTACTTTTTAGTAACAAATTGTCCAATTTCAAAGTGCAGACAGAATGTCTTAGTTAATATTGAAAATGCATCCAATTAATTCACATGTATGTAACACAAACTACCCTTGATTTCAAAACACACAACAACCAGTACAGACCGCGGTATAAATGACTCAATTTCATTGGAATAACAGCCATCATACCCCGTTAATCAGAAAAGCAACATTTCTGAATGCTACAAAAAAAAATTGGTCGAAAGCGTCGAAATTATGCCCCAAGTATTACAATGGCTGTATTATTATTAATGTTATAAATGTTATGTTACGTTATAGAAAGTCGCACAAGCGCTTTCATATTGTTCTATTATGATAGCGTCGTCGTTTTCAGTAGTGTCCGTTGTATCAACGTCGTCTCCCAATAAAGATACCAAGGTTTCTTTCTTTTTTGACGGAATTTATACTTTCGCTGCAACTGTTAAAAGCAACACAGCCGGCTACACATTTGGCTAAACGCGATAGTAGACAGCGGTACAAACCCACTGCACATATTGATCAAGTTCCAACGACATCAACGCCTACTATCCCGAGTTTACGAGTAGTTATTGTAGTAAATTGAGACGAACATCCAAGTATAGTAGACCACCTATAATCAGGGCTCAAATACAGACACTATTAAAAAAAAAATCGGTTGTCTGTAATGTCGGTTTACTGACGGTAGTTGAACGTGACAACTTCATAAGAAAATACGCCTAAGAGCGAGGTAACGCCGCATGAGTCAAGTCTTTTTGTGCGTGCAGCCGGCTTCATCGAATTATAAGACGTTGTCACGTCAAAAAATGTGGATAGAGATGTGGGACAACTAAGCGTTTTCTCGCGTTCGCATTGAATGACACTAACAAAATTCAAATAGGATTTTAACACCTTTAAATATTATTTTAAGTCCTTGAACTTACCTAAATCAGAAAGGCTAACTTTCTCCAGGAACGGGTCAGCGACGGGAAGCTGAAACGAATTTTATGTATACGTTAATTAACCTCGTACCTAGTTACATGAGAAAAATAAGAATATAGACAAACAGCGATAGATAGCAGCGCAAGTATTTAACTAAACTTTAATTAAACATTAATTGTTTGGAATGGAATTATCTGTTTGATCTTTCCATCTTGATTGCCATTTAATTATGAATAAATAATTAATTATTAGGGTTGATATCAATGTCTTAAGCGATTGTTTTTTATTGCTTAGATGGGTGGACGAGCTCACAGCCCACCTGATGTTAAGTGGTTACTGGAGCCCATAGACATCTACAACGTAAATGCGCCACCCACCTTGAGATATAAGTTCTAAGGTCTCAGTATAGTTACAACGGCTACCCCACCCTTCAAACCGAAACGCATTATTGCTTCACGGCAGAAACAGGCAGGGTGGTGTTACCAACCCGTGCGGACTCACAAGAGGTCCTACCAAAATGAAGTCGCTCGGTGTTCTAGTTTATCTTTACCGACTACGATAGTGAAAAGGGTGCAAATGTATTAAAATTCAAATTGAAGTAACATACCCCTCTGGAATCGCGGAAGAGAATGGCAGCATGATGAGGATCCAAGAATGCATCTGAAGCTCTGTGTCTGTTAACAGGCACGTTGCCGAGAGACGACCTGCGTTTTTCAGCTTGTTGCGAGGCAGCCCTGCGTAGATGTGCTCCTGTTGACAAAATGTAATTAATAATTAATTGGAGTTGTTATATATTACGAAATACAATAAAGCTATTACTGGCCAGTTATGATCGTCATGAGACCGATATTCATTTTGTACACTTCGTCTTTCGTTAAGCACCTTCTACTTCAATACAAACGTTGGAACTCAAAATAAAAGAAAATAATAAATTTATCCATTAATATGATATAATTTAAAATAAACATTGTTACAGTTCAAGGTAAGATTAAAGTAAACAGCACAACGTCGCCGCCACGCGGGTATTGTTTATGTTGACCATAAAATACAATAATATAAATTAGTACATATAAACATCTAATAAAAGCCAACAGTCTTCTTTAGCTAGACGAGTGAACAAATCTTGAGACATGAGGTCGTAGTCTCGATAGAATTGGTTGTTCTATTAGATTCGTTTCTATGATAAAATCCATAAATCGGAACCCATAAATTAGAATTATTATTAAAAATCAAGTGTCACGATATTTTCGTGTTTTCATCAATCAAACTGTCGGGATCTGTGATCAGGTGCGACCTATATTTCTATCTAAAAGTATAAGCTAATAAAACCAGACCACAAGATTAAAAATAGTTTTCACGGTAGCGGATAAAGCAAACGTCCTCGGGGTCACCGTAAAGACATGTGTTTCCGGTAAAATCTAGCCAATCGTGCTAAATAATACACTACTATAACGCTTTTGAGATATTTATAAAAAATATCAGTCGCGAATTGGAACTAAATTTAAAAAAAACATTGAAAGTTTTTTTAAACTGCGTTCATATTTTATTGTGTTAAGAAAGTTTAATAATAAATAACTGGGAACAAATCACACCTAATTATGCTTTCCTGTGTTATAATATACCAGAGTGATATATATACTTATACATATATGTACGTTTAAATATATAGATTTATATAGATAATAAACTCCCAGACAGAGAGCAAACAAACCTGTTCATCATACGAATGTTTGCCTGATGTGGGAATCGAAAATAATGTTGTTCTAATTAACAGTGCTTCCTCTTAAAATAGGATTTACACGGCCCGAACACAACGCGACGTCATCACCATACCATACCACAACATTGTAGCGTGGATGTATACGTCATACCACAATGTGTCACTTCGGTAAAATACCACACCGACATGTGGTAAAAACCAGTCGACAGTTTATCTCTCTATAATTATCGGATTGGAATGGTAACAATAAGGTGAATTCAGGTTTTTCTAGATATAGCATTATGAATAAAACTCCTACATTCCGGTTTTCGGAGGGCGGGACAGCCTTTATACAACAAATACAATTAAGACTTCGATTTTATATCTTGAGGCGAATCGCTCTTTAAGCTGCAATACTTGACTGCTTCGCGGCAAAAATAAGCACAACGAGAATACGTTACCGTGCTGGCTAACAAATACAAAATTTCAATATTACGTAAAATACGATGGCTTCATGAATGATAGCAAAACTTGCAGTGAAACATTTTTTTTTTTTTTTTTTTTCGCGCCGGGGGCCGAACCTCCTACGAGGTCCCCGCGCCTAGGGGGCGCGCGGGGTATGTGAGACTCAACGATCTGCAGGTGTTGAGAGCAGATCGCGGGCCCAAGGATTTTAGGGCCCACCCACTAAACGACTCCCCTGCACTCTTACACCCGACGTCCGATCTCCGTCCGGGGTCAGAACCCGTTCAGAGTAGGGGGGTTCCCGCGGTCAACACTACAACCAGACACGCGGCGCCACCCCGAGGACGCCCGACCGACGGGTCGTCGAGGCGATAGTCGACGACCAACGACGTCGGTCTCCGCGGTACGGCGGCCCTACCAGGCCGCCCGGGCGGTGCCGCTGGTGTTCCGGGATACCCCGCTGGGCCAGAACCAGCCTGCCGGGTCGGAACGCGATACACCGCCGACCGGGTTGCTCTTCAACAGTATGTTCGGCGACGACAGCGACGACGAAAATGCGGACCGCATCGCAGTCCGCAGCCGCCGACGCGCCGTCCCGTCCTCCTGGTGCCAGCGCGCTAGAGTGACGGTAGCGTGCGGCGCAGCCTCAACCCCCTTAGGTCGCCCCGTGACCATCACCGGGAGGAGACTGCCTCCTCATAGGGGCTGGAGCTGGACAAACGCCCTCCTCCGAACCCCGGCTCGACGGCGGCGGCACGGCGCCGAGAGGGAAGAAGAGCTCTCCCTCTCCCGTTCCGCCGCCTCCTTCTGCGAGATGGTGGACTCGCAGAAGTCGAGCATCGCCTGCCAGGACTCGTCGCTGCCGAGCATCGTAGCCACGACGGTCGGAAGCGACAAGTCCGGTAACTTGCAGTGAAACAGCCCCAACTCATGGACCGATCTTCACCATTATTGCTCCATGATAACGCGAGACCTCATACAGCACGAGAAACCGTTTTAACTCTACAGGAACTGCAATAGGAACCATTCATCGCCCTCCGTATTCGCAAAGCCATGCTCCAACGGACTGATGACTGATTTGGACAATTTTCTACGTGATAAAAAGTTTTCTTCCCAGGAGGTAGTACAAAATGCTTTCACACAGTTTGTAGAATCTAGATCACTAGAGTTCTATCGCAAAGACATAAATTACCTTCCAATTTGATGGCAGTAATGTATAGATTATAATGGTAGATATTTTAATTAAATAAAGATGTTAAAAAAACATCAATTTAAAATTTTCAGTACAAATCGGCAATTTCATAACTTAACCCCTAATATTTGTTGTTTCGTATCATTGATAACAAAAACTGGCTCATCGCCATTTAATATTAGCATTTCAGTTCGAGTTCAGAGAGTCAACACGTCATAAGGCATGATTGCTGTATATTTATCTTTCAAAGTCGGTCGGTGTTTATTTTGAAATGAAAACAAAATATTTTTCATTTTAGACAGTGTTTATAAAGATTTTATCTCTAATCGGTATAGTGATTGATGCAGCTCACCGCTTTTTAATACCACCAAACTTAAATCAATATTTTAATAGTGACATTGAAAGTGTTAGGATTATATATTGAATTTAAACAAAATTAATAAGTAGACAACACTTTGACAGTGGTAGACAACATTTAATTGAATCAGTTTCATAGTCAGGTCCCTACTTTGAGCGCAGTGACAATGCCCCATTTAAATTAAAAATTGGCTTTTATTAAATTGCGTGCACGAATTTCCGGGTATTTCCTGTTTACTGTTGAGAAGTTCCTATATCTGGAGCCAACGCTGGAAATTCAGGTCATTAACCATAAAAATGCATTCTATCGAAATTGGAAAAGCAAGTAAAAATGCAGGATGCAAGGAGGCGTTTTGATACAAAAATGCATATTAAACAAATGCTTATTGTAACATTACCATTTTTTTACACTATTTATCTTAACAATTACTATTTAACGAAATGAAATTATGAGAGTGAGGCTAAAAATTAACACCAGGTGGGCCGTGAGCTCTTCCAAACATATAAGATATAAAACAAAAACTAGAAACCGAGCTAATATGAATTTGTAATTTTGCTGATGTGTTCATCTCGAAAAATGAAATTCTTATTTTCATATCTGTGTGCACCAATTTTTCGAGTAAAGTGTAATAAAGGGACGGACGAAATGAAAGCCTAGCCTGCAATCCCACCAATAGTAGAATACGTTTGCTAAAGATATGTATGTGCTCTAATAGAATATCCCAGTGTAAACATCTGACGCTAACTGCGTTGCTGAAGTAAACAAAAACTGTAATTTGTAATTGTTTATTCGGACACAAATATGCTATGTGAATAAAAACCATTTTTGACGTGACAACGTCTTATAATTCGATGGAGCCGGCTGCAAGCACGAAAAAACATGACTCATGCGGCGTTACCTCGCTCTGAGGCGTATTTTCTTATGACGTTGTCCGACAACCGATTTTTTTTATACACAGAACTTCTGAAACAAATTCGGCAGTAATCAATATCGGTCATTCATTTGTAAATGATCCTGTCTATAAGTAGACAGTTGTTGGTTCACTTTGATAGCCAGCTGGAGACGAGCGAAGATGGGACCTGATCGGTGTGTGCAGCGCCATCACTTCTCGTGAATTTGACGCTCGAAAGACTCATTTTAGCGTTTATCTAACCATTATGAGCTTAGCCTGCCACTTGCAGTGTGAAGTGTCCTTTATCAGTGCGGGCGAGACATAATAGCAAGCTTCGAGGTTGGGGGTGCTCTTAACGGTTGACATTTTTGCTTAGAATGCTGCTGTACCTTCATAAATCACCATAACAAGAAAATTGTAGTCAGATATGTACCTTTAAAACCACGCCTGGTGCATCAACATTTATCTTTATGAGCCTTTGCAGAGTCTGAGAAGGCTATTCTTGGTTATGGAACATCACTGAAACCGGACATTGCTCACGCAGTATCCTAGTGATCTTCTGTAGAACTCTGAGCGTAAACACGGTCATTCTGCTTATTACAATAATAAAACGCATACTAAAAATTGTATTCTATAATACTAAGAAATGTAGCTAAATATATAATTCAATTTACCGCGGCATTTTGTAAACTTTCTCTTTAAGTATCACATCAGTGACGAAAAAAAATTGCTTCTACAAAAAATTAAGAAAAAAATATTTTCTTGTGGTTCGATTCGTACTTTACAAACTGATGTTGTATGAGTTAATACATAATTGTTATATTAATCACTTAGTGGAATTGTTCGTCGTTCAATCGTCAATTTCATATTTTTGCATTGCATTATGATGTTTACAATGTTTGCAATCATTCTGCGGGGTTATCGTTCAGCACATAAATCAATCATGAAGGTCAGATAAGAGGTCACGTTGTTTGTCCGCGATGGACACCTAAGCTACTGAACCGATGTTAACTTATTTTTTTTTAAATAAGTGTTTTGGTCCAACTTAGGCCATAGGATAGTTTTTATTTCGATTAATGGTCGCAATATATATTGATTAACAATAAAATGATTTCTTATGTTGATTATTGTTATTAATTGTAAG